TGTGTTTTCCCATGGTCTCAGTTTCCCCTTTACTGTGAACACATTACATTATTATACTTAATTTCCTATCGTCTTTGTATTCTTTTGTAGGATTAAACCCAAACTGGATAACTCTAATCTCCTTCTTCACTCAGTCGACTCTAATTATACATGCATCTATTGCCCTCTAAAAATGCCAGAAAACGGAAAGGGCTTTAGCTACAAAACATTTTTAAAACAAGAAATTGACGAAGGAATTCATATTTAATCGCACTGTGGTCCAGTCAACAATTATGAATTGATATCTGTCTGGAACGTGGACAAAGAAACGTTATCTTTTTCTTTTCTTGTGTTTATATTTCACGCTCACATCAATGAAAAAACATCATATTTTATTAGGGGGAAGCGGACTTCGACCCTGCCTGTCAGGTAACAACGTCCCAGCAGATAAACGGAGATACTCAATAAAATGTCTCCCCACACGGGAATCGAACTCAGTTTTCTGCGTGCGACGGTAAAGCCCGTAACAGCTTCACAACAGACGCCAGTAAGCTTTATCAAACATTTATTAGGTGTGACTTTAGCATTATGCTTCCCATGAAGCCAAAAATGTTTCTGAATGTTCTACGGTTTGCTGGGGTAATAATATAATAGAGTAAAGCGCATATAACTTCCTGTAGAGCAGGGACATGCGCTAAATGCGCATATAACTTCCTGTAGAGCAGGGACATGCGCTAAATAAAATTTTAGTTTTTATCAATTACTATCATGAAGCGTACAGGTAGGTAATAGCACATACTCAAACAATTATGTAGATCAAAGCAGCAATTCTTGATTAACTTTTAATTGTAAAAATAACTGGTCAACAAAGAGGGGGTAATAAATCATAAACATGGATTGCATTAAAATTCGCTGAGAATGTGAAAATTAAGTTGAACAGCTAAAACTAAAATGCATAACGTATGTATCTGCTGTATATGTATTCCTTCTTGACAAAACGCACTGTTACAAAAGAACGCAGCCAGTATCTCTCTCTCTCTCTCTCTCTCTCTCTCTCTCTCTCTCTCTCTCTCTCTCTCGCTCACACACCTCACCCACACATATTTGTGCACATACACATAATAATATAATTTGTAACAATAGCTCACAAACAGAGTCACAGTCACATGCATGAACTATAAATGAACAATATAATTGTTTACAGTAGTAGTGTTCAGCTAGATTCATAATCAGTATTCCAATTGTAATCCAATGATAATACTCTGGTATTGCTTGCACCCTTTAAAGATCATATGAATATTTATCTGTTACAAGATGATGCATAAGGTAGGAGTTTTCATGGATTATGATAAAAATTACCTTCTGTATAAAGACATTTGTATGTTACAAATCAAAAGCCTAGGTCTTTACCTTCTGATTGATGCTTTGATTTGAGGAGAACAAATAATGTTGGTTGTCAAGAAGGAGGAACTTGAATTTTCTAGTGCAAGTGATAATGCATAATTCATCGAAGAACACAGGGTTGGGAAGATGTGTCTTTTTATTTCTAGAAGTGTAGTCGTAAATCATTAATCACAGTCCACGTAATCATACAGAGTAATGTAGATTATATTTTTTTTTACCACTATGATGTATATATACAACTATGTTTCATCTGATGAACGATAAAAATAGAATTAAAATGAAAGCGTAGACTTTATACCTTTGTGTTTATTTTGTCAATTGATTTGCTTAATGTATTTGTATGTTTGTTTGCTTATTTGCTTCTTTGTTTTGAGAGAAGACAATTAAATTGACACAATAGCCATCATCAAGCGCTGGGAAATAGAGAAGACTTTATACCTTTGTGTTTATTTTGTCCATCGATTTGTTGCACCTATTTGTTTTGTTGTTGTTGTTGTTGTTGTTTGTTTGTTTGTTTGTTTGTTTGTTTGTTTGAGTGAAGACAGTCATATTGACACAATAACGACCATTAAGCGCCGGGAAATATTGAAACAGACAAAAAACAACAACAACCCAAACAAACCAAAAAAACAAACAGCAGAGGCAGAGGTAAAAAGTACGTGTAGAACCTATTATTAGTGCTTCGCCCTCCAGCTCCCAGCCTTAATTGGTCGCTTTAAAGCACAAGGGGGCTATCCTGCAAAATGCTGTTTCGAGAAAATCTATGGTATAATAATGATGATGATGAT